ACTAGTTACACCTGGTGGAGAGGAAACTGCTCTTTTCAGTTAAAAAAAATCATGATAATGTAAAACAACTTACCAGGCAGACTTAGTTATAAGCTTTAGTGTTGCATTTTGGGTGGGTAATGAAAGCTTACTATAGCTAATTTTTATTATCTTAATATAGAGCAACTCCAAGGGTTAAAGGAATCAATGACGACTTCATGCAATGTTTGCCTTTTCTGCTTTCCATCTTCTATTCCTCCACATTGCTTTTATGCTTAGGAATAAAGAATTGGCTATCTTTGTTTGAGTGGGGAATTTGGAAAGTCCACCCAAATGGCCTGGATGTCTAGCAAACACTAGATTCTTCCTGCTGGTCTATGAAAATATTCTACTAGGAAGCCTTCAGCCGTAGTCAATTGCCTGGTATGTAAATGTGTCTTTTGATTTACTTTCACTGTCAAAGCAAAAACACACAAAACGATGACCTAAAAGCCAGCAGAGAACAGCTTTCTGGCATTCAGATGCATATCACACATGTATAATTGATTCCTTGAAAGGTTAAATACCCTGAGTCTATGTACAAATAGTGGTATGGCAGTGATGAGTTCCTAACCACTATGGCCCTAGCTTTGTTTTACATAATTCTAAAGTAAATGCCATGTTTCTTCTTTGGGAATTCCAGGATTGGTATTCAGAAAAGCATATGTTCCAGTGTAGATAGCAGGATGAAGGAATGACACTCTCTAAACAGAAGGCCCATTCATGTGGCCAGTACACTAAGCTTTCCAAAGCACAGACAGACACTACATTCTCTTTGGAATTGAAATGCAATTATATATTGAGGACAGGTGCTAAATATAAACATAGAAGGCCAAGGATATTCCTTTATTCTTGCTCTGTTTTTTTTTGTGGTATATTTGCTGGAAGAATTAGCTACTCAAACACACTATAATCCGTAATTAAAATACACAGATCCAAACGCTTGGCAATACTTCATCATCTCTTCAGCTTATTAGAATTCTAAAGCACTAGTCTTTTCTTATATTTATAAACAATTACAAAGATGCCATGGAAATTAATTTAAAGATCATGCCATTAAGAGATATGCAGAACAAAATAACATTGCATAAACCTTTAAAATGAGAAAGGGGGTAATATGTTTGTTTTAGTTAGCTTCAGCTGTCAGATTTACAGCCTAGATTCATCCATTGAGAGCAGAACCCTTAACTGAGGAGTTTCTTTTATCAGGCAGGCCTATGGGCATGTCTATGGGAACTGTCTTGATTGCTCATTGAAGTAGGAGGGCCAGACCACTTAAGTCAGCACCATTCTAGGTATGCATGATCCAGAAAGTCAGTCAGAAAGTTATAGTCTTCCATCTTTTCTGCTTCAATTCCTTTTACGATATCCCAAAGATTGTGAGCTGGAAGTGTAAACCAAACAAATCCTTTCCTTTTCAAACTAATTTTGATCAAAGTGTTCTATCATAGCAACAGAAAGGAAACTTGAGCAATGTTACGTAATGGATAATAAGGAAATAGAAGATAAAAATAAGGATTATTATTGTAAGCATTCAAATTATGAGTTTTTATCTAGGAGAAAAAGGACAAAAAACAGCATATTGTATAAACAAGTTTTTTTTTAAATTAACCAAAATTAACAGCTATTACACTTTTTTGAAAAAAAATTATACAATTTTTGATATTTTTCTAAATTTTTAAAAGTTGTAAAGACAAAAAAAATTTCCAAAACATAGTAAAGAGAAAGCACAAATTAAAATGCTTAAGAAGTGTGTTTTACAGCCATTAAAGGAAATCATGAAATTTTCAGGCAATGGATGGAATTGGAAAAGATCATCCTGAGTGAGGTAACCCAGAAGCAGAAAGATACACACGGTATATATTCACTTTATAAGCGGAAATTAGCCATATACTATAGGATAAACATACTAATATTTACAGACCTAAAGAAGCTAAATAACAAGGAAGACCCTAGAGAGGGTGCTTAATTCTCATTAAGAAGGGCAAAAAAACGATAGACCTCTGAAGCAGTAAAAGAGAGAGAACAGGACAGGAGACTACCACAGATGTCCTCTAAAAGACTCCACCTAGCAGGGAATTGAAGCGGATGTTGAGACTCACAGCCAAAATTTGGGCAGAGTGCAGGGACTCTTATGGAATAGTTGGTGGAAGAAAGATACGGACAGGACAGGAACTCTATAAGGATACCAACAAAGTCAAAAAAATCTGGGCCCATGTGGTCCTGCAGAGAATAATGCATCAACAAAGAACCATGCATGGGGAGGACCTAGACCCCCTGCTCAGATGTAGCCCATAGGCAGCTCAGTCTCTAAGTGGGTTCCTTAGTAAAGGGAACAGGGACAGTATTTGACATAAATTCAGTTTCCTGTTCTTTGATCACCTCCCACTGGTGGGGTGGCCTTACTAGGCCCCAGAGGAAGAAGATTCAGGCAGTCCTGATGAGACCTGATAGGCTAGGGTCAGAAGGAAGGGGAGGAGGGCTTCCCCTATTAGTAGACTAGGGGAGGGCATTGGGGAGAGGAAGGAGGGTGGGAGAGTGGGACCAAAAAGAGATGAGGAGGGGTCATAACTGGGATACAAAGTGAATAAATTATAAAAAAAATAATTAAAAATGTTGAAAAGAGTGTGTTCTAGTAATAATCATACAGTGAATGTAATAATCTTAGGTCGAAGGGTTCATGCTTTACTTTAAAAATGTGTATAGATCATATACAAGAAGCACTTAAATCATAAATCCCTAGAAAATAAGAACATTTGGCCAGACACGCTCTAGCGAAACTGCTGATGCTATGCGAATAGTGGCAAAGTTGACTTCAGTAGAAAGCGTGGTATCTATCCTCCATTCCCATTCCTGCTTCCTTTTTCACCCCTTGACACATCTACATGTAGAAATCTGTTCCCAACAGTCCAGGACTTCTCACATGCCCTTTTCATCTCTTTTTGTCCTATTCCAAGCTAACCATTTTCAAAGCCTGGGGTTGTTTACATTCTCAACTTTATAAGTTATTATTCACTGTGTATTACTGATTCAGAACTTAACATGGCACTGTTACTATTTATAACTATGCATTTCTTTAATTAAACTATATCATCTTAAAACCGTACCATATTTTTATTCACATACACTATTTTCCTTTACCCTGAATCTTACTGTAGGGTTGAACCTTATGTCCCTACACTATCCTACAGAAAGTTAATGAATACATGTCAAAGATCTTTTGAAAAAAACACATGTAGAAAGTAAAGCAGTTGGCCTTAGTGGTTCTGTGAATCGCCTCCTCCTGACTGTGCTAGGGATTCCACACGGCCTATGGTAGCATGCCACCCTAAGGGCAAGATCGCATACAATTTGTGCATTTACACCTTGGGCCGTGTCCACTACTTAATAGTCAGTAAGTGTTACTGTGAAATGTAAGATATGATATCAGTCTATGATAATCTAATCTACTCCCATGGCTTCTAAAGATAGCATGTGATTCAAAGTCTCCAATATTGTTATTATCCAGCTCCTGCTGGAAGAGAGAGAAACTGACTGGGGAAATTGATGAACCAGAGAAGTACAGATATAAATACTGTCACTATGAACGGTAGTCTCAGAAAAGGCTGGCTGAAGCAAAGCAGAGAGAACTGTTTACAGAAACCAACCACAGGTACTGATGAGGAGATGGGACGGCATGGAGTGGATGTGCCTAGTTTATCCCACTGGTCATTGAGAAGTGGCCACAGAACCTTCTTTCTATTGACATGAGAGAGCTGCCCCCTGCAAACCTCTCTGAAGCATGGTGTTTCATAGTAGATAATATATGAAGAATTTTGTTTAAGTCTAAGTCCATATACTGTGGATGCAAAATAGAGTATATGGATTTAGAGTTACACAAAATTCTTCATATATTCTCTACTGTGGATTGAGACTAGAGTGTATTATAAAATACAGATGCATCCTTTGTGCCCAAAGCTACTCTCTCTAGAGACAAGCACAGATTTCACATGCTGCATTAACATAAGTGTGTCTGTGTATATATGTGTGCAAGTACATATGTATATACGCATACCTATATGTACATACAGTCATATAATATTTAGTTTATTTACTTGTATTTTAGACAAAAGTTCCATGTAATAATATATTAAATATAATAAATCTGACTTTTTCATATAACCTCTCATTCATAGTTATTTTCCTTTTCAATTTTATTATGTTTAAATCCTCCACTTCAGATGCTACAGTCAGTATGTTACATTTATTTTTTGTATGGATGGATAAATGCTTTTGGAATAGTGTTTACTTCATTCTAAACCCTAGCATTCAACAGGCAAGATTAGAGATGCCTATCTTGAAGCTAAGCTCTAGCATGCATCACCTTTTCCTGTAATTATGTGGTCTACCCTTCAAAGTTCATTAAAAATCTTCCTTCTGCCACAACTTTGTGTCATTTTCCCAGACATGACTCACTCCTAAATCCATGCCTCAGGATCTGCTTTTGAGATCATGCAATTCAATAAAATGGGTTCAACTCATGGCAGGAGCTACCACTGGAGGCATCATCCTTACTGCCACACAGAGGGTGAGTGGCTTGGGACAGGCTGATGGCACATGAACCAGAGTCAGGATCTAGGCAGCATTGGTCAACTTTTAGAAATGAATTTTGAAAAATGGACCACATATTTACAGGAAAAGGTAAAGCATGCTAGGGCTTCAAGACAAGGCATCTCTAATCTTGCCTGTTGAATACTAGGGTTTAGAATGAAGTATAAACTATTATAAAAATCATTCATTCATCCATACAAGAAACAAATGTTCCATACTGACCTTAAGCATCTGAAGTGGAGGATTTAAACTGCCCAACCAAGCCTGGCACTCTCCTTCAAGGCAGTGAAAGAAAACACATACTTTAATCACCATGAGCTGAGCATATGCCTGAAATTTTGTCTTAAAGAAGAGATTTAAATGGCTGAATGTCTTCTCCTTGTTTTCTCCAGATAGCAACTTCATCCTGGCCAATGCCCAGGTGGCGAAGGGTTTCCCCATAGTCTACTGCTCTGATGGCTTCTGTGATCTGGCTGGATTTGCACGAACTGAAGTCATGCAGAAGAGTTGCAGTTGCAAGTTTTTGTTTGGGGTGGAGACCAATGAGCAGCTGATGCTTCAGATAGAAAAGTCCCTGGAGGAGAAGATAGAGTTCAAAGGAGAAATTATGTTCTATAAGAAGAATGGTGAGTTGTCTTGCTTTGGTGCCTACTGGAGGGATCACTAGCTGCTTTATGTCCACTCCAGCTGAACAGTATTTCACATGAATACAGTGTTTGGGCAAAGTTTCACCAATGACATGGATGATGCCTCTGTTTTTATCACTGACAGCATAAACCATATTTAACATTATATTTAGAATTAAAACTATCATATCAATATTTAGCTGAAGTAACATGTTAAAAAAAAAAAAAAACCTCTCCGGCTTTCTTGGTGGGCTGGCTAGGTCGTCCCACCAAGGAGAAGTGATCAAGGAGCAGGCAACTGAGTGCATGTCAGAGACTGTCTCTTCTTCCCTTAATTAGGGACCTCACATGGAGACTGCTTTCTCTGCATAGACCCTTTCTCACTACTGTCTGAAAATTTAAAGACAAAATGAGACAAAGTAGAGTCAGTGCAGTACTCAAACTACCAGTGGGAAAAAAGTCAGCTCTTTTCCTCTGATACACTTCTATGAGTCTTTTCTCAGTGAAAGAAGATCTAGAGCTGGGCATGGCATCTGAGGTGCTTACATCTCAGGTGAGAGCAGTTGTTGCTGGCTTATGGGTCCTGCAATTGCCAGGAATCTAAAAGGTTGCACATGGGACGAATGCTAAATGGAGGATTAGAGGAGGTTATCTTTTCATCTTACTACCACAAGCCCGTTGGTTGTAGCCAAGTATGTAGATAGCAAACTAGGCAACATATCTCTAGTCTTTCTTTCTTTCTTTCTTTCTTTCTTTCTTTCTTTCTTTCTTTCTTTCTTTCTTTCTTTCTTTCTTTCTTT